CTCCTGTTCTATCCCTGGGTTGGGAAGATCCCCTGGAGAAGGGAATGGATACCCACTCCAGTATTCTTGGGGCTTCCCTTGGTAAAGAATCCGCCTGCAACACGGGAGGCCTGGGTTCGATCCCTGGGTTGGAAAGATGCCCTGGAGGAGGCATGGACCCACTCCAGTATTCTTGCCTGGAGAATCCTCATTGACAGAGGAGCCTGATGGGCTGCAGTCCATGGGGTCGCAAAGAGTCGGAAATGATTGAGTGACTAAGCAGCACATACATGATTTTTCTGCATCCTCAGTTCCAAATTGGCAGATTTAATCAACTGTGGATCATGCAGTACTATAGCATTTACTATCGAAAAAAATTCTTCTGTAAGTGGACTCACATGGTTCAAAGCCATGATATCCAAGAGTCAACTGTAGGGTGGGATGGGAGTAAGATGAGAAGGAGGTTCAAGAGAGAGGGGACATATGTATATCTATGGCTGATTCATGTTGATATTTGGCAGAAAACAACAAAATTCTGTAAGGCAATTATTCTTCAATTAAAAAAAAATAAAATCAGAAGGAAAAAAAAGGGTTCACCGTTTTAGGTGGCAGCACAGTCACATTCTCACTAAGAGTAAATAATTTCAATAAAAATACTATCAAGTTGGGGGAGGGGAGAGATAAATAGGCTGAACGCAGAATGCTTTTAGGGTAGTGAAACTACTCTGTATGATACTATAATGATAGATACATATCATTATACATTTATCCAAGCCCATAGAATGTACAATACCAAGAGTGAACTGTAATGTCAACTATGGACTTTGGGTGATTATGATGTGTCAGTGTAGGTTTATCAGCTGTCACAAATTTACAACTCTGCTGGGGGATATTGATGGGCTAAGCTTGTGCAGGGGCAGGGGCTATCTGGGAAATCTAGGTACTTTCCATTCAATTTTGTGGTGAACTTAAAACTGCCCTTAAAATGTTTATTAAAATACTATAAAGAAAGCAGAATTATTGAAATAACAAAATTATAATTATATAAGGAACAGAAAAGAAAACCTCCCTTGTTATAGCTACAAAGGGAGTATTTAAACTACAGTACACACATGCTAGCTTTTGAATATAAAAATTAAAGATGTAGAAAAGCAAATTATTTCATTCTTCTCCCCTGACTGTGTCATTGTCTGGTCCTGCTGGGATTCCCACTCTGACTATGAATTTTGTACTGAAGAGATAGAGAAGGAATATCAGGAAACAGTGACGGGAGTGTGGAAGCTGCTAGGGTAAATGTGATGAGAAGAAGAAAGAGTTGAGATATATTTTTCATGTAGAGAATCTTCAGATTTCTTGTAGGAACCACTCGTCTATACCCACTGCCTGGCTCCTTACATCAACTCTCCCCTCCTGTATCCACTGGATAGCTTATCCTTCTAGCATCCCATCAAGGAAATCTGTTCAAAAATCTTAAGGGAACGCTGTATTAGAAACTACTTAATTAGATTAGTTCACTTCTCTACTTGATTAGGCTATTTCTGTGGTAGTATTATTTAAAGATATGTGTTTGGGGAATTGGTGGTATTTTTCAACCACTCCCTGTTGACAGAGGGCAGACAGGAGCAGAGATCTATGAATTTAAAGGTAATGTAACAGTAGCAACCATATAAAACTCTCCCCGCAAAATCAAAAAAACAGACAACAATAAATCTTAGGAGCTAATTTAATCTAGATCTTTCTGATTAAATCTTACTTCAAATGGAAAAAACTAAAATTGGGGATGAAAAAAATAATGAAGCCTCAGTGAATTCCTTTCAAGTGAATCTCAAACATTTCCTCTTCAAGCAGATTTCTGGGAGAGGTCAGTATAGGAAGAAAGGAAATGTAACCTTTATGTTACAACTCTGCTGGGGGATATTGATGGGCTAAGCTTGTGCAGGGGCAGGGGCTATCTGGGAAATCTAGGTACTTTCCATTCAATTTTGTGGTGAACTTAAAACTGCCCTTAAAATGTTTATTAAAATACTATAAAGAAAGCAGAATTATTGAAATAACAAAATTATAATTATATAAGGAACAGAAAAGAAAACCTCCCTTGTTATAGCTACAAAGGGAGTATTTAAACTACAGTACACACATGCTAGCTTTTGAATATAAAAATTAAAGATGTAGAAAAGCAAATTATTTCATTCTTCTCCCCTGACTGTGTCATTGTCTGGTCCTGCTGGGATTCCCACTCTGACTATGAATTTTGTACTGAAGAGATAGAGAAGGAATATCAGGAAACAGTGACGGGAGTGTGGAAGCTGCTAGGGTAAATGTGATGAGAAGAAGAAAGAGTTGAGATATATTTTTCATGTAGAGAATCTTCAGATTTCTTGTAGGAACCACTCGTCTATACCCACTGTCTGGCTCCTGACATCAACTCTCCCCTCCTGTATCCACTGGATAGCTTATCCTTTTAGCATCCCATCAAGGAAATCTGTTCAAAAATCTTAAGGGAATGCTGTATTAGAAACTACTTAATTAGATTAGTTCACTTCTCTACTTGATTAGGCTATTTCTGTGGTAGTATTATTTAAAGATATGTGTTTGGGGAATTGGTGGTATTTTTCAACCACTCCCTGTTGACAGAGGGCAGACAGGAGCAGAGATCTATGAATTTAAAGGTAATGTAACAGTAGCAACCATATAAAACTCTCCCCGCAAAATCAAAAAAACAGACAACAATAAATCTTAGGAGCTAATTTAATCTAGATCTTTCTGATTAAATCTTACTTCAAATGGAAAAAACTAAAATTGGGGATGAAAAAAATAATGAAGCCTCAGTGAATTCCTTTCAAGTGAATCTCAAACATTTCCTCTTCAAGCAGATTTCTGGGAGAGGTCAGTATAGGAAGAAAGGAAATGTAACCTTTATGCGTAGATAAATCAGCTGTATTTTCACACAGTTTCTGCATGTAGTACTTCATTTTGGAGAAATGATTTAAGGCAGTAATGGTCCTAAGTTAAAATGTAAGCTTGCTGTGCTTAGTCACTCAGTCGTGTCCAACTCTTTGTGACCCCATGGACTGTGGCCTGCCAGGCTCCTCTGTCCGTGGGGATTCTCCAGGCAAGAATACTTGAGTGGGTTGCCATGCTCTCCTCCAGGGAATCTTCCCAACCCAGGGATCAAACCCAGGTCTCCTGCATTGCAGGTGGATTCTTTACCGTCTGAGCCACCAGGGAAGCCCAAATGTAAGCATTTTAAGGCAAAATAAGTATTGACTCATAGCCTTTAAATATTCTGATTTTTTCTCTCCTACCTTCTTTATATTTGCTTTTCCCAGTCCTATGTTTGGCTAGGGATCTATCTGGGTTCTACTTTTTCATCTGCTTTTCCTCTCTTGGAGGAACTCCAGCTTTACTAACTCAGGTTGGAAAGGAGGTAAGGTGGGCATGAAGAGACAGCATTAAGCAAATGATTCTGCAAAGTATTTCTGAGTACAAGGGAATGGCTGGTCTGGATTTCACAAAGAACACTTGTAATCCGGGGTGAGGGAGTATTTCCACTGTCCTCTCTCCAATCTAGAGGCTGCAGCCCACCAGATGTTGCTACCTTTAAGGAAGGGTACAGAGCTAGGTTCCAAGAAAGAGCCATTAGTCAATGGCCACAAAAGGGAAATCTGTTAGGAAACTGCAGGTGGTTTTAAGGTCAGGTATCCCTCCATTAAATAACAACACATTCAACTTCACTGGCTGAGAAGGCTGCTCTCCTGTTTCTGCTTACCTTGGAGCAATCTTAAGAATTACGACTCTGGGAACTTTGTCATAATCCTGCCTTGGGAAAGTCTGTGTAAGACAAATTTTCTTGCACCTATTGGAAACATTGATGAGCATCTATTCTTACATTGTCTTCAAGGTAGGCCTGTCACAGACACAAAAGCCAAATTTTCTGTGATGTTACCATGGAAAACATACACACACATTGGAGTTTGTATTATTGTTTTGCAACAGGCATTAATCATCATGGTATTCAATCATTTAGTCATGATATCTATTGTCTAGTTCTTATGCATGAGTAGCATTGTTACAGTCTGTGAGAACCTAGAAATGTGAAGATATTTTAGCTCTATTTAAAAAAAAATATTAACTTTTAAATAAAAACAATAATTTAAAACATATTTTAAAATTCACCCACGAAAGATCTTCATCTAAACTTCTAAAATAACAATTGAGGTTCTGGGATGACATTAAACAATTCAAAATTTTAGATATTGGAGGGGACTTTGGTTATCCAATACAACCCTTTTATTTTAAGGCTCACTTAGCTGAGCAGCAGCTAACAGACAAGTAACAGGATATCCAGTACTGGAACTGAAGCTGGCTTAATTTCATTTAGGCTCATTTGGAGACACTAAAAGGCACATATCGCTCTCCGCCTGAAGGTGAAAACAAGACCAATGCTGCTGGGTACCTGTGCGAGATATGTCTCATCCTTGGTCTTCAGCACATTTCTAAGTAGGGCAGCAAAGTTGAGCAAAATCCAACAGAGGGCTTTCTTTCTTGGAACTAGTGGTTTAGTCTTTCTGTCTTCAAGAAGTTTACAGTATTTTGCAGAAGCCAAAACACACACCCATAGATCTGCAGAATGTGGCCAGTAGGCAAGTGTTCTTTTAAATAGGAAGGTGCAGAATGACAACAGGAGCACACACAAGATCAGCGATTAACATCATTGTTTTGCCCACGCCAGGAAACAGTCTGTGCTCCAGGTCAGGTCATGATGCCCCCAAACAGAGAGCAGGAAGCCTCCACGTGCCAGCTTTGAGATCCTCAGTCCACTTCGTTAGAGCAGCCGGCGAGCTGGGTGCCACCTAGCGGAGGGGGTGGCTCTTGGCACTTGTGGCGCATCCAGTGTGATCACAGCTCGCGCAGGCGCAGTGGGCAGAGCAGGACCTCTAGCAGCTCCCGACTCTGCGCATGCGCCCCGCAGGTGGCCGCGCTGGGATTGTGTCGCGAGACTACAGTAACAGCCCGCTTGGTGGCGCCAGGCTCCTCGCCCGCGGCTGCCACCTGCCTGCTACGCTTCCGTCCGCCACGCCACCTCAGCCTAACTTCTCTGGAATTGGAGCCCTGAAAGCCTCTGCTCCACAGTCCGCCAGTGGAAAGCCCCGCGCCGCCACCTACTGTGCGGGATCCCGTCTCCGCTCCTCTCCTCTCCCGCGACAGGAAAATTTGGCGGAGCGGCGGCTCCTCAGCTGGTCTGAGGCGCGGGGCTCTCAGACCTCCAGGTACCGGCGCCTGAAGCGGCGGCTCCTCTTGGGTCCCTCTTCCTAGGGTCCCGCCCCAGCGGACCTCCCTCCCTCACCAGAGGCCACGAAACCCGGCTCCTGCCACTTTTTTGCCTTGCTCGCTCCGTGCGCTCCCTATACTGAGGGGGCCAAGGCGAGGACGCAGTCTAATTCTGCCAACCGGAGTGAAGGAACGCGGTGCCCAGGGGGAGCCAACCGCCGGGAGCTGGGGAGCTGTGGCCAGTCAGCATCGCACAGGCCCTCGACAGGAGACGCCGTGGGCGTCTAAGTCTTGGGGCGCTGTTGAGGCCACCACAGCAGCCTGAGGAGAGGTGGTGTGGTTGGAGACAGACTCTTGAAGGGTGGACTGGGTTATAGCCCGCTAGGGGAGATCCTGGAGAATGTGAGTAGATGGGACCTCTGATCTGCCGTGTTGCTGCAAACTTAGAACCTTTGCTTATCTTCCACAGAAGTGATAACTCCTTCTGCAAGAACCACCTCCATCACACCCAGTCCCCATGTTCTTTTCCTAAGCCCAGCCCTGACAGAAACTTCACATTGTGATTTGTCTCCCTGCTCACGGGTGTGAAGGCCAGGCAAAGAATTCGGAGCCATAGAGTGTCAGGGCTGTGTAGAGGAAAGAGTTAAAATTCTGCAGGTGGACATTCCTTCCAGGGACTTTATTTGCTAGGCTTTCTTGTGGACTCAGGTTAGACCAAAAAGGCTTTAGGGTTTGTAGGGTGATTTAGATGAGAAGTCTCCACCCCTTCTTCCCTCAGAGAAGAGAAGAATGTCGGTGGACAGTCTCAGATTCCCAGAGTGCCCTCAGAGATTCCCTGTCTGTGGGAACTCACCACAGGCGTTACTGGGAGGGAACTCTGTGGCATCTTCTCATTGCATGGAGCAATTGGTCAGACTGTCCAGCCTGTGAGTGAGCCACTGATAGCTGGTGTGATCAGTCCTAGGGAAAGATCCCAGTGACAGCAACCCCCTGTTGTCTCATTGCTTCACCCCTTCTAGGGAAGAGAGCAAGTTATAGCCCTGCTCTCTGCTTTTGGAAGGAGAAAATGGTTTGCTGGATTCCTGGAAGCTGAAACTTGGGAGAGTGGCATGAGTGGGCTTGGGCTAGACACAGCAGGCAAGCCAGCAGTCTTGAGTCTTTTCAGGGAAGGATTTGTTTTTGAGAAAATTCTGTATCTTTTCAGCCTAGAAGAGCTGTTACAATTTAAGCTGGTCCTGGAAACTTTACCTTCCTGAAAAAGAAATTGTGGGTGCAGTAGCTGAAGACCATTTCTAAGTATTCTCAAGGCATTGAGAACACCAAATAAAGGTATCTTTCATGTTGTTTTCAGTTGTCATGTAATTGGCAGAAGCATTCCCAGAGGGGTATCACTTTCAGTTGTGATTTATGGTCAGCTGGTAATGAAATCTGCGAACATTTAAAACATTTTTATGAATCCCTTTGGTGTCCAGGCATAGATTGCATTAAGATAAATCAGGATAATAGGAGTTCTTACACAATCAGTTAATTTTGCCTGTTTTTGAACTTCAAGTAAATATGTACTATTTTGGATATGGCCACTTTAGCTCAACATTATGTTTGTGAGATTCATATGCAGCTGTCCTTTTAGCAAGCAAGTATTGCTTGCTAAAGAGTAATATAATCTTATGAATATCTTTGTTTTTAACTTGGTGTGGAACAACAAAAATAAAATGTCAAACATTTTATCAGACTTCTACCATGCATCCAGGCTCTGTGCGGGCACCAGGGAGACTTAGATGACAAAAGTTAAGGGAGCTTTTTCCCAAGGGTTATTGGTCTATATGAATCTTATGGACCCAAGACCATCATGTTGTGACAAATTGCAGAATGGGTGAGCTGATTGAGGGTCACATTCTCCAGGGCGTTGTCACAGAGGGGGTGAGCATTGTCACAGAGGAGGTGAATATCTGCTAGTTACTGAAGGACAAGTAACAGCTCACCAAGTAGAAACTTTACATGGAAACTTGGAGGTTGTTAGAGGAAAATCTGTCTCATTTTGGCTTTGTCGGCCTGACTTGATATATGGTCTCTGAATCCAGATTCCTTCTCTGGCATAGTGAGATGTTCTGCACTATCCACACTCACAGGCCTCTAGGTGAGATCTAAGGAATTCCTATGATACACTTCTCATGCTAAGAGTGCTGTATAAAGGTAGCCATCATCATTAACTGCAAATGGATTCATCAATAATTATTGAACACAACCCATGTGCCAGGAACTACTATGATGATGGAATCAAGAATAGACTGTGTAGGGACTTCCCTGGTGGTCCAGTGACTCAGACTCTGCACTCCCAAGGCAGGGGGCCAGGGTTCGATCCCTGGTCAGGGAACTAGATCCCATATGCCACAACTAAGAGTTTGCAAGCTACAACTAAAGATCCTGCATGCCCTGACTAAGATCCAGTGCAGCCAACTAAATATTTTAAAAAGGAAGATGTAGCTCTCCCACCATGGATATATTTTTGTATGCTTTTTACAAGGTGCCCTGAAAACCTGGTAGTTTCTGTGAGGAGTAGCTGCAAAAGTTAGGAACCAGCCAAAAAAAGGTGGTGAATACAGAACTTGTCAACTTCAAAAATAGCCAGTCATTTTACCAGCAAAATAAGTTTACTTGGGAATGGCAGAGAATTGCAATTTGGGACAGGCAAGCTATGGTGAATCACAGGCAAATCTAAGTAGACAAAGAGATTGATCTTGGAGGAAAAAAGGTGAGTGGTCCTGAAAAGAGATCTTAGTTCCCTTACAGGAATTGAACTTGGGTTCCTGGATGAAAACCAGGAATCCTAGCTAGCAGACCACCTGGGACTAGAGGCTAGAAGTAAAATGGTCCCAGCTTTTTACTCTGTTTGAAAGCAAAGATGTTTCAAGGAGGCAAAAACTATAAAAATAGGTACAAAGTTTATTAGAGACACAGCACGCAGGAAGTATGAGAGAGCACACAGAGAAACAGTTTGCTTATTTAAGATTGAAGCAAGGCAAAAACACACACCCAAACCTGAAGAGAAAGGATATGGGCATTCTCTCTAATGAGGAGGCATGCGATATGTTGGAAACTAGGCAGAAATACACACCCAGAGGAGGGTGGGCGTTCTGAGTGAGGAGCGCAGTAAGGAGGTGATTTAAATCGAGTATTTATGACAGTCCTTCCCATTCTTCGTTTTCCTTTGGCCAATTGTTTCTTTCTTCACACTTGACTAGTCCCAGGACCCTCCCTAAGATGGGTGCACAGCTTTTTGTGAAGATGGCTCCCACCACAGAGACCTGTGAGTGCATGTCCACACTTATTATGGGGTGGTGTCTCCTCCCTTTTTGACCCCCAAAGAGCCTTCTTGTACATGTGCAGACAGGGAAGTTTTCCTTGACCTTTAAAGTGAAAATGTTAGTCGCTCAGTTGTGTCTGACTCTTTTGTGACCCAATGGGCTGTAGCCTGCTGGGCTCCTCTGGCCATGGAATTCTTCAAGCAAGAATACTAGAATGGGTAGCCATTCCCTTCTCCAGAGGATCTTCCTGACCCAGGGATCAAACTCAAGTCTCCTGTGTTGCAGACAGATTCTTTACTGTCTGAGCCACCAGGTATGTGCATCTTTATCTCTTTACTTCAGCAGAGCTTAGCTTCCATCACTAGCTTTGTCCTTGGAGTGTCAGTTTTGCTCTGCTTGACAAACACCAGCTGTCCAGCCCAGGGGCCCACCTATTACCTCAGGATGGTCAGTTTATATTAGAGTTTAGCAGGAATTTGGGAAGGGTTGTTTTGACTTATATGCAGAGTACATCATGAGAAACGCTGGGCTGCAAGAAGCACAAGCTGGAATCAAGATTGCCGGAACAAATATAAATAACCTCAGATATGCAGATGACACCACCCTTATGGCAGAANGGATTGGCGGCAGGAGGAGAAGGGGACAACAGAAGATGAGATGGCTGGATGGCATCACTGACTCGATGGGCATGAGTTTGAGTAAACTCCAGGAGCTGGTGATGGACAGAGAGACCTGGCGTGCTGCGATTCATGGGGTCGCAAAGAGTCGGACATGACTGAGCAACTGAACTGAACTGAACTGATTTTGGATAATATTTCCTTAGAGAGAAACAGGCTGTTTGAAATTGTAGCAGTTTCTTAACTGGCTGAAACTGGTGGCTAATACATTGTTACTGAGTCAGGGAGATGCTTAAAAGCAAGAGATGAAATTCCCAAGTGCAAAATGTTCTCCTTTGTACCAGAAGAAAAGTAACATTCTTATCATCATGGATAAGAAGTTGAGTCAGAATTTTACCCAAAGAATTCTATCCAAAACAGATCTCATTAAAATAATTTTTGTTGTTCTTCCTGCTGGTTATGCTGGGATCCATGAGTGGTGCATGCATGGAATCAGGGCTTCCTGACTCCATTTTAAATGAAGTTTTCTTTGATTATTTTCACAGTTTTCTCTTTTGCTCAAGATCTTTCCTCCAAAGCATCGCTGATCAAGAATCAGTTTCTCCATATTTAGTGGTTTTGTCCCTCAGTACCAGGAAAGACCTTTCCTGGTTCTCATGTCCCACATCAGAGGGAAAGTGCATGGCAAATGGAAATCATTGAAGTTATATTTACATTTACGTAAAAAGGAAGGGCGCGAAGAAGAACATTCAGGAATTTCTCATTTAAAGTCTATATTCTATCTAGGTTGTAAGCATTAGAGATCATTTTGAAGCACGGAGCTTGCATCACTCTGTTAGCTATGTCCTTTCTACCAAGATTTGAGAGGCAACAGGTACAGAGCTTAATAATAGTATTATGCAAAGCAGAGTTAAAAGTAATATGACAAGTCCAGCTTGTTTGACGGTAGCAAGCTAAATAGATCAAAGGACCATGGAGTATCAGGGGAAATTTGTTTTAACCAGTGTGCTTGCTCCCTAATTTTCTATAATTGAATTTCTACCTCTCCAGAGGTATTTATCTAAGCGCCACAGGTGGTATTTGCTATTACACAAATGCCTCCTTGATCAGAAAGTAGATAATTAAGGATCATGCTATTGTTTAAAACTACTTTAATGAAATCATCATTGTTGGCCTGCTGCTGCTTTGGCTGTGAATTGCCTTGCTCTGCTAATGTTAAGTAGAGATTTCTGATCATGTGTTCATTGGCACTTATTCTGGTCCTAAGGAGAAAGGCTCTTTTTACAGAGACAAACTTAGAATCATGAATGCCTCTGGGTAGTACTTGTGTAAGGTGGCCATGGCCATCTCAAGCAGGAGATGGCAAGAGTGAACATCGACATTTTAGGAATCAGTGAACTAAAATGGACTGGAATGAGCAAATTTAATTCAGATGACCATTATACCTATCACTGTGGGCCAAAATCTCTTAGAAGAAATGGCCATTACACCTATTACTGTGGGCAAAAATCTCTTAGAAGAAATGGAGTAGCCAACATAGTCAACAAAAGAGTCCAAAATGCAATACTTGGGTGCAGTCTCAAAAATGACAGAATGATCTCTGTTCGTTTATATTCCATTCGATATCACAGTAATCCAAGTCTGTGCCCCAACCATAATGCTTAAGAAGCTGAAGTTGAACTGTTATGATGACTTACAAGACGTTCTAGAACTAATATGTCTCTTTTCATTATAGGGGACTGGAATGGAAAAGTAGGAACTCAAGAAATACCTGGAGTAACAGGCAAATTTGGCCTTGGAGTATGGAATGAAGCAGGGCAAAGGCTAAT